CGTCAATGGTCAACGACCATCCTAGATCCTCGACTTTCTAGATCCCCTACATACAAAAATAAGATAAATTATGAGTTGGATTGAGTGCTCAGGGGCTAGTGAACTCACGAAAAAGGAAAAAAATGAAGAAAAGAAGGACGAAGTATCAATACACACCAAACTTGGCAAAGTTATCAAGAGTCAAAATATGACCAGAGACAAGCTTCTATAAATACAAAAATCGTATGTATCGGTAAGGGGGCATAAGTCGTCCTAATAATGAAATTCCTCTTAAGAATTTATAACGAGGTCTTAGGATTAAGAACGAAAACAATTCATCGTTATGTAGCATCTGTTAGAGCAAGGAAAGTATCTTGCACAATGCACGAGCATCGTCAAACTCTAGAGGCAATTTTAAAAATCTATTCCCTCTTTGTAAGTGAGCAGCATCCTGACTATAGACCTCGATCTCCACTCTCCTTGAAAGTCCTCTTCTTTTTAGGCCTACCTTAAGCCCAAATCCCAATTATGAGAACAACAATAAGCAAAACAAAATTCAAAATATACACAATGTGAAAACAAAGTAAAATAGATGCAGTAATTGAATTCAAATAAACAACTGGTTCGAGGTGTGCAAACACTGTCCTTAAGGATAATTCTGGCAAAATCAGCTATTCCCCAGGATTCAATGAACTCTTCCTCTATTGAGAGGGTAACAGGAACAACAAAAATTAAATATGATTATAGACCCAATCTAAATACTAAAATAGAAAGAAGCTTTAAGAAAGCTATGGAGAACGAAGAAGAGAGAGCAATATAATATATTGAAGAGGTGAGAAAATGAATGAACAATTGGCTGTATTTATAGGCTTCAAGGTAACAATTTATACAGTTATCGTGGCCAATATCAGTAAGCCATAACTTGCAGATTTTGTGCAACAAACAGATACACAACAAGACTTATTCAATAGTTGTTGAAAATAATAGTCAATAAAATGAATTGGTCAAGGATAATCTTTTAAAATATTTTATACAACAATCCCCCACATATTTTAAAAGTTTTATATTGGGTCTATACACATTGATGTAAATGCCTTGAATTTGGTATCTTTTGGATTATAAACCAGATTTAGAAAGAACGAAACATAACTTACAGAGATATCAGTGAAGATTATAGCTTCTATGAACCAATATACTCTTAATGTAAGTTGGAGGTTTCACCGATCACATTACACCTCCACAATTTTGTTGTTCAACGCGTTTTTTGCTCTAATAGGCCATGCGCTCGCCTGGTTATCATGAGTGCTCTAGAGATTTTACCACAACCTCATGGGAGCAGCCCCACTCCACACTCATTTAGGTAATTCCATCAAGTATACACCGTAAATTTTTACACCACACTTAAAGGCTATGAAATATATTAAGAGCTTAGCTCATCCTTACGTTAAATTGCAGTTAATCACTAATCACACACCATAGGTAGAACTTAATTAATTTTGTAGTGCTTCAGTGTCATCAAGTGACTTGTTGTTACCCATATGAACCTAATTCGTGCGATCTCCAATCACATAGGTCGGGTTACCATCACCCTTGATATCTCATATAGGCTTTAGTCCCATACCCCTCGATGTTTCAAGAATTAATTTTCTTCCCAATGGTTTAGTCAGTGGATCGGCCAAATTCACTTCTAACTTCACATAATCGATGGATATAATTCCATCTTTTAACAGCTGTTTTATCACATCGTGTCTCAATCGAATATGTCGATTTTTCTATTGAAATTCTTATTCTTTGCAATGACTATTGCCGCTTGACAATCACAATGTATTGACATAGATGGTGTCGGTTTCATTCCTAGTGGAATCTCGACCAAGAAATTTCTTAACCACTCAGCCTCAGTCCCAGCTATTTCCAGAGCTATGAACTCAGATTTCATGGTGGATCTAGCAATGATAGTTTTTTTGGTTGATTTCCATGTAATTGCACCCCCGCCAAGAGTAAATACATGACCACTAGTGGATTTGGTCTCATCTGAATCTGAAATTCAATTTGCATCACTGTATCCTTCAAATACAGTGGGAAATCCACTATATAGAATACCATAGTTCATGG